TAGCCCTGGTGAACCATCTATTATTACCTGCTTTTGCAAAAAATATCACACCTATTTTGCATCACAACACTTAACTATATTATACTCTTAACTCTCTGATATTCTTGATATATCTGACTCATCAAGCTCTATAGAAATTGATTTCGACAACAAAACTTTCAAATCTCTTACTAACGTTACAAGATCAACATTTCAACCTAGACACAATATTATTCATCCCTTTCCTAACTGCTACAGCAATATTTGTAAAAATCTAGATAACCCAATCTCTTTTATTAAATTCTTACATTATGCTTATACTTGCATAATCTGCAAAGTTAAAAGTATATCTTGTATTATGCTTAAAAATGACAACCACTCTTTAGACCCTAAAGTCCTCATTTTTAAAACACAGGAAGGTAGCTTTCCAGCACATTCCCAATGTATTCACAACTTTAAACTCAAACTTTCTACTCTATAACCTTCATGAATATGAAACAATGCAATCTATACTACTTAATCAAATGCCTTTTAATGTCAACAGAAGACAAACGAACCTTTTTTAAAAAATTTTTAACTTATTTACTCAAAAAGAACATACTTACCAAGAACCAAAACAATGATAATAATCCACCCAAAAATAACAAAAAAGGCAAAGAAAAACAACAAGAAAACCAAAAACAACAAAACCAAAAAGAAAGCTTCAACAAAGAATCCAAACAAAAATGTGATATCTCCAAAGACTTTGATTGGTTTAAAAATTACCCTGTTACTTCATCTATGCAACAACATAATAAACTCAACACCCTACTAGCTCAACAAGTTTTTTCTCTTCTAAAATTACATCTTAGAGACTTTATTTCAGGACAAGTTATTTTAGATAAATCTAATAATATTTAAACCAAAGGAAGGAAATATTCATTTAATTACATTCTTAACAAAATGGCAGACAGCAAACCAAAATTTTTAACTGAATTTATTATAAATGTGAATCCTAACTTTGATCAATCTAAACCAATCACTTTCAAGGCTTATATTAAAACTCTGAAAGGCCTACTTTCAAAATTTACAACAGTCTTCTTCACTCAACTTGATTATTTACATATCCTCCATTTACACTACTCTATTCCACCTTACTCAATTACTAACAGATGCAGAACTGCTATTAACATAGCTCGTTTACACCTCTATCTTAATTATACATACAAAACTATCAACTTTACTGAATTTATGGAAAAACTCAATATCAAACTACTACACTATATACTGCAATTTAATATTCAACATAACTCTAATCAATTACTCTTTGATATCCAGAATGACAACAGATTTAATATCAAAGTTATGCTCAACATCCTGGCACAAAAGTTTGCACAAGACTTTAGAACTCTGTCTCTTAAACTATACCTCACAATCTTTGAAACTTGGTTCAAAAATTTTTTCAAAAAATACAGCATCCAATTTGAAAACATTAATCAACAAAAAAACATACAACTACATCAAAATGTTAATATCTCAAAAACTTATCGAAGAATGTAAAAAACTTATATCAGAAACTTACACCTTACCCGAAACTCTCTCTGCACTTAAAGAATAATCAGCAGCAACCTTTAAAGCAGCAATCTATCACCTTCATTTTTGTAACAACAAAGCATGTAACCTTTTACCAGAATCTACCGAACATAATCTTCAAAATATCTTTAAACTCTTTTTCTCAAACTCCTTTAAAACTCATCCTGTACCAGAATCAACAAAAAAAGAATGGATATATCCCAAGCTTGAATCTACAATTTTTCAACCAAAACAAAAACTTGCAGCAACCTTTTCTGTTTCAACTCCAATAGGAGAACTCAGAACCTTAGCTAACTCTATAGAAAAATCCTTTGCTCTTCTTAATAAAGTCAAAAGTAGTGTTGCTAGATCTACACACTACTTTTATTGCTACTTAAAAGACTATATGAACTATGCAATGAACAATGATGGACTTCGAGGCTTATCTAACAACAAGCTCTTGAAAAAATTATTACTACAGTGCAGGCATCCTTAAACTAATATATAAAATACACAATTTTTTAAAAATTTATAAATAAAAAACTAAAATAGTTATAAATTAAATCTCTTTATAAAATAATAAAATAAAACCTAAAGAACAAAGTTACAAAGTTTATTTTTTTAGTTAATTAATATTTAATAAAGTTATAACCTTTTGAAGTTATTAATAAAATAAAAATTTGGCCACATATATATAAAAACATAACAGAATTTTAAAAAATATAATAAAATTTTAAAAATTATAATAAAATTTCAAACTATTAGCCAATCAGAATTTAGTATTTTGTCTCAAATTTGGCCGCCTTTAAAAAAGTTGTTGGTTTAAGGATGCTCGCACTATACAACTACAGACATCCACACTATTGCAAGAGTTATTACTTACTTTAAACTACAAATGCAATTTAAAGTTTCAATTAAACAAATCCGTATAGATTACAACCAATTCTACTATCCAGAAGCTGAAAACTTTCTAATCAAACACCTTAATATTTCAATTCCAACTCAATATGACGATTCACTTTTTTTACAAAACACAACCACCCCTAACTCTCAAGAAGAAGGCAAAGAAACACAAAACAATACTACTCTTACCTCCTCTAAGGAATCTGAAAAAATTTCAAATACTACCTCTTCTACTTCTCAAGATGAAACCAAAGAGCATCCTTTTTAATAAAGTCTTCTACAGATAATATAGAAGCATCTACTACTTCCAAGATCTTAGTAGAGCCACTCTTAGAGGAGAACAAAAACAATAGGCAAATAGTAAAACCTATTGCAGAAAAATCTGTAGAAGACAATTCACATAATACTCCTATTTTAGATGCTCTAACTCACACAAAAACATGCTATAACAATTTTCTAAAACAACATAACTTACCTCCTTTACAAAACTCTACAATACTCTATAACTTTATCAAACACCTATGAAAAATTGCTTTTTTTAATTCAATTAAAATATCTGTAAACTTAGAAGGCACAGAAACACATATCTATATTAAGACCTCTGATCCCACTTTGCTAAATCACACAATTATAAACCTATATCAATACAATACCTATGGTCGCTTATCATTACTTACAACTAATAATAATACAAATCCTCTTTCTGCTCTCTACTCATTAGATATTAAAATTAATCTCATCTCAGACAATGAAATGGATCCTCCTCTTATACCATCACCTACATTATCTGAAAACCACTATACAAACCAATCTTCAAATATATCTAACACAACTTTAAACCCCTCTAACCAACCTACCTTCATACTTGAACAAATCAAAATTTGCTCTCTTAATACAAATAGACTGTCTTACTCCAAACAAACTTTACTTTACAACTTCATTACTAAAAATCAAAATAACATCTTCAGTCTCTCTGAAACTCACCTAAGTATCAAAGAAGCAAAACTACTTTTATTAACTCAAAATCTTTCTAACTATACTAATTTTTGGAGTGAAACTGACAACTCCAGACAAGGTGGAGTCAGGCTTCTAATACATGAAAACCTTGCTAAATTTATTAGTAAAATACAAGAATATAAAGGTTATATCCTTGCTATAGACTTATCCTTACCAAACTACTCTATTCGTATCATACAATTATACTTTTCTACTAAAGAAAAACAAGCTTTAAAAAAGGAAATATATGAAAAAACACTCCAACTCATTCAAAAAACCAACTATAAAATTATTATCATAAGAGACTTTAATGTAATACCAAACCCCAAAATAGACCATTTATCATCTAAAAAAACACAAACACCAGAATCTCTATTAATCAAATATCTTAAACCCAACTTATACAATACTTTTAGACTCTTCCATGCTGATCTTCTTAAATTCACTTGCTATCATAAAGAACACCAAAGCAGAATAGACCAAATCTAAACAAACTTATACATTACTACTTTGGACTATGCAGACATTCTTGACACAACTCCTACAGACTCAGATTACAATATCACTTCTCTAGAAATTATTCTATTTGCTACTTTGTTATCAATTCACAAACAACCTAAACAGAAAGTTACTCTTTAGAAATATACAACTACTATATAAATAGAAAATTACCAAAAGCACTTAGATAAAAATCTAAAGATGATTAAAAGTTAAATTACACAAATTCAAAACCATCAAGACCTAGACCAAATCTGAAAAATAATTAACAAATCTTTTATTAAAACTACTAACAAATACATACTACACAAAAAAATAAAACCTAATAAGAAAAAGCAACGTTTCCAAAAAATTAATTACACACCTACCTTCTTTCAATACAAAACACTTGTCAAAATCAAAAAATCTCTCAAATTATCTAACTTTCCTAACCTTCTCTATGAATATTACCAAAAATTTCAAAACAATACTCTATTAACACCAAATCTCCTATCTGATATACAACTTCCAACTCTTTGGAACTTTCTAAAACTTGAAACTAAAAATCTAAAAACATTATTAAATCAAAAAAAAAAAAAACAATCACAACACGAAATTTTAATCAAACTTCAAGAAAGAAATCTGAACTTCATTAAAAATTCTAAGCTATTTTATAAAAAAATTTTAGAAAGATACAATAATAATACTAATTTAGATTGACTTCTTTCTCATAATTCTTTACTAACAAATCCTGAAGATATCAAAGAAGCTATACGACATCACTTCCAAAATTACTTTCAACAACAACCATTTCTACCTATCCCTATTGATTCAGATTTCCACAACCTATACAAATCACAACCTGAACTTGAAACTCATTATAACAATCTCCTAATAGAAATCTCTGATGATAAATAGTTCAAAACTACAAACCAACTATCTAACCAAAAAGCCTCAGGTTCTTCTGACACCAACTATAAGCACATTAAACTAGCCTCACACCAAAGTCAAAAAATACTCAAATCTTTACTATTTAAATGTTTACAATTACAACTAATACTTACACAGGTCGAAATTTGATATATCTTACACTTAAGCTATATAAATCGGGTAGCAGATGAGTGAGGATAACGTAAGATATTCTACACATATAGTATACGTATAGTATACTAATCCTATACAAATACTCAAATACGTAGGATAGGTGTAGGATATGTGTAAGATATGTGTAGTTGGTTTGCAAACATGTGTGAGATATCCTATATGTCATTGCACAGGATAGGTGTAGGATAGGTGTAGGATATGTTAAATTCGGACCTGTATTACAGATTGGAAAACATCAAATATTTTTCTTATTCCAAAAAAATCAACTTGGGACTATACTTTAGACCAAGTTCAACCAATCTTGCTTATAGAACCATTAAAAAAATGTTTAACTAAAATTTTTACATAAAGACTTGACCAAATCATTAACCAAAACAATTTTTTAAATAATCTCAACTTCACCACAATACCCAATGTTTCTATATACACACCAATTCAAATTCTAAATAATACTATTAAATATTATAAACATAACAAAAAAGAAGCTTGAATACTTTTTCAAGATATGTCTAAAGCTTTTGACAAAATCAATATTTAACATCTTGCACAAGCATGTAAAAGAATTGACATGCCTCAGCAGGGTATAAACTTTATTACAAACCTACATCATGACCGGAAAGCAAGAGTAATAACAGCATATGGCTTAACAGACCCAATTACACTTTATTCTGGTATTGAATAAGGAGAAACAT